TTGGGGGAAACCGGTATACTAGCCAAAGTTATCTCCTCCTCTGTTGAGTTGATAGTCCCATACTGTGACTTGGGGTGCTGATAGACCAGTCTTTGACCTAGGAAGAACCGCTTCCCTTGACCTTCTGGCCACTCTTTTGCCAATGCAGCCCAGCATGCAGTCAGCTCTTTACACTGCAGGCACACACTGCTCACTCATATCAACTTGTCCATCAAGTCCTTTCCTGCAAAGCAGCTTTGCAGGCAGGCAGGACCCAGCTTGTCCCGCAGCACGGGGTTACCCCATGCCAGGTACAGCCTTCTGCCTTTGCTGAACTTCCAGGGGTTAGCTGAGTGGCAGCCCTGCCCTCCAGCAGTTGGGACTGCTTCCCAGGCTTGATGTCATCAGCAATCTTCCTGAGGATTCATTCTTGTCCGGGTCAGCAACACAGAGATAAACCAGCATCAGTTCTGCTACCGAATGCTGGGGGTTGCCACAAGTAACCAACTGCACTTCATAGTGCTGGTCGCAGCCCTTTGAGCCCGGCAGTTCAGCCCATTTGCTACCCACGTTACAGTCCGCCCGCCCCAAGAAGGCAAAAGCCTTCCGAAGGTCAAGGTGCAGGCTGCACGTTGCCCTACCCTAGTCTGCAGAGCCATGCCGTCGCAGAAGGCGAGGAGGTTGGCCAGGCCCAGTCTGCCTTTGGTAAATCTGTGCTGGCTGCTCCCAGTCGTTCTGTCCTTGGTGCAACTGGACACAGCAAATCCAGGAGGGCTTACTCCGTAATCTTTTTGGAGGCTGAGGTCCCCAGATCCTTTTTCTTGCCCTCTGTGAAGACAGGTATTACAATTGCCTTTTTCCAGTCATCAGGAACCTCTCCTGCCATCAGCAGAGAGAGCAGCTTTGCAGTCATTTTGGCTCCTACAGATGAATCCCACATGATGCCTTGAACTTGAAAATGCCCAATCTGCTTTGGTGGTCTCCAGCTCAGTCTTCTGCAGTGTGGGTGATGCTCTGTGGCCCCAGGTCCCACTGCTCAGCACAAGGAAGCCAAGAATAAACCATGCCAGCAAAGCCCAAGGTAGAGAAATCATCTAGACCTTTGACCTTTTCCATGTTGTCACTACATCCCCCTATTTTGTTCTCCATTGGGTCTACATTTTCCTTTGCCTCCCTTTTGCTGTAGAAGCCCTTCCTGAATCTTCTGGTGATGAGGAATGAACCTGTGCTTTGGCAGTGGATTTTGTTGTTGTTCTTGTTATTGTCTCATCTACATCTGTTTTCCCTGGCATCTAAGTTAAAAAATCTAATTTTGCTGAGTTGGAGCAGCTGCCACTTCCCACCACAGTAAATTAAGCTTTCAGAAGACCTCATCTTTGGAATTACAGTTCTGATCATAATGGGGATTTTAATAGTCAATTGAGATGCTGATTAAATTATAACACTGTGCATTAGGACTGTTCATGTACTGCTGGAGAAATCTCGATCGTTTAGTTTTTATTAGTTTTGTGATTTAACGAACAGAAAACATTAAAACTAAAAGCCAAATGCAAAATAGCTGTATAAAAATGTTCTATAAAATTCAGAAAACTGACAGACTTAGCTGTAAAAATGCTTTGCAAAGACACAGCCCCTCTTAAATGCCATTAATTTTAATAAAAAATGAATGCCACCATCAGGTTTCTTAACAAAGAAAATTTCTCGTTTCTTTTTCTAGGTTCATGAGATTCAGTCTGTACTTTAGTGAAGCTTATCAACAGGTTTGAAATTATTCACTCTGGACTGTTTTGGGTTTGGGTTTTTTTATATAAAAATCAGAATAAGATGCAAAGGACAGGGGTTTTGTATGTGTCCTCACACTTCTGGTTTCAGTACACGGCTACACCACAACCAGCCGTTGTGCCATCGATGTCACTGCATGGTCCCCAGCACTGCAGTCTGGGGAGGTGCCAGCAACACCTCAGATCCATCTTTTGTTGTATTAAAGTTTTGATTGTGGACTGTATTAGTGTGAGGGTACAAATAAAGGGCAGTCACCTCACCCACTCACTCCTCTGTGCTGAGGTGGATGAGGTACCCTGAACCATTTTGGGGTGTGATTTAATGGGGTGGTACAGTGATGTGGGAGTTCCTGCACAAGCCAGTATTACTGGATATTACCAGTAGTGTTATCAAGAGTACCAGAGAAGCAGTAAGTAAATAGGGATGATTGTATTCAGGGCACAGAGATTAGTTTTTCAAGACTCTTCTTGTTTAAAAATGCATATATATATATGTATATAAGTGTGTATTAGGTATTTATACAAGTATCTTACTTCTCAAACTCCTAAATCAGGACGGCAAAATCACTAACTACTTCTTGTTTATTTTTTTCAGGTATGAAAGATACCTTGGCATAAGATGCTGTAAAACATGTACCAGTGGAAGAAATACCTACATTGCAGACTGGTCCGTGTCAGAATTGGCATGTGTAGTATTGTTCCGCTTCATCTTTTCGATGAGACTCTTACCTGCATTTTGAAACAGATGAAGATTTATTGAGGTTTCTGCTTCAGTTTGGGTTGTGAAGGCAATTGCAGCATGTATCTGAATTATAAATAGACCTTTCAGTGCAGTTATAAGTAGTACTTCAGTAATAAACCTGTTGCTCTAGTTGCTTTATTTTTCCTTTCCCTTCCTCCTCACTTGAATTTGATTTGAGGGACTCTTATTAATTCTCTCTTTACCTATGACCAAGAATTTTCCCATAGCTCAGCAGTCAAAGGTCTGATTTTGTTGGTGATGAAGGGCTGGGTGCTACCAGTGCTGCTGCGAGTTGTCCCTTCATAGCGCCTGTACACTTGCCTCTGTGACTACACAAAATCGTGTTGAGAAGGTTTTTTTCTGGGTTCCTAAATTTATTTGTCCCACTTTTGTGAACAGCCTGTGCTTTGTCGTAGGCCCGAAGGGAGTGATTCCACTGAGCGTACAGGTGACTCAACCGAGCATGCATGGAACCACTGACCATGAGAGCCACAAAAAGGAATGCACTCCAGTTCAGGCAGCTGCCACAAATGGAGCATGTAAACCTGCTCTGATACATCTTTACCTAAATCATTGGGAGTTTTGCCATTGAGTCTTAAAGAGAATCAGCTTTTAGGATACAGGTTAAGTTCAGAAGCACTTCCTATCCATGCCTTGGCCCTTGTTTGTCTGTAGCACTAACATGAAGCTTAGTATGTTGACAGCTGAGTTTTTGATTTATCAACATGTCCCCTTGGATTCCAGCAAAACCTGTTGCAAAACAGAGTTAAACTTCCTAAAGTAGCTGTGATGCCGAGTTTTGGTGCACACCCTATCATCACGAGACCGCCTGGAGCAACAGGGGCCTTACTCTTGATGGTGCATCTTTGGGAGCAGGGCCTAGCTGGATTGTCATGAGCAAGGGCTTTATGAACCAACTGGTAGGTGTGAAGGTCTATTTGCGTATGTTGGGCTGGTGAAATAATGCAAATTCTTAGCATAATTTCCTTCCAGTCCTGACGCTGCTATCCAGCTTATATTATTACTGTGTTTTTGTTACCGGGTTTGTTGCCCTCAGTTTACCGCTTCTCTTTGTTCTCCCCCAGCTCTCTCAACCACATCCCCAACTTCTCCATCTCCTGGGAGAGTACGTGGGAGAGCAGCCTGCAAGACTGGACCTGGAGCAGGCAGCACGCTGCCTTCCTCCCACCTTCATCCTCCTGAGAGTTCTTACTTCTGTCCCCACCTCCCTGCTCTGTCCTGGTCAGAGATGCAGGGAAAGGGGAAAGACGAAAGACAGCAAATTCCAGCAGGAAATACCCCACTTTCCAGCAGTGCCTGATTCACAGCACGGGGCTTAATGATGAACTGACTGTCACACCAGCGGCACAAGCTGGTCTGAACCGTGACACGGGGGACTTGAAGTCCACTTTGCAGAAGTGGTGAGGCTCTATGGTGCAGTGGCAACAGGGACATGTGCAAAGATGACAAAAATCATCTTCTGAACTGTGCTGCAGGTCTTGGTTGCGGGGCTGGTTTCAGTCCCTTAACATTCTTCTCCTCAAATGCGTCAGTTGATGCACTCATGGTGTTAATTAAGGCAGATGAGAGTGTGCTAAGGACAGTGTATGTTGAACATACGACTTCTAAGCATATCCCAGGTTCAGAGGAACACCAAGCCTCTACAGCTTATTTTTGCAACCTCTATTTGCAGCTGCCTATTTTTTACACTTCTTCCCCCTCTCCCTCTCCCAGATTTCCCCCTCCAGGCTGTTTTTTCCTCCCCTCCCACCTCCCCAGGTGCTGTACTGTGACTCCTTTTGCTCCTTCCCCTCTTTTCTTACTCAGAAGCACCAGACCAGAGCTGTCGCAGAAGGCTGGACAGAAAGGCCACCCAGCACAACACCCTGGCTGGGGTGCGAATTTGGTGCAGTCTGCAGACATCCCAGATGTCTATCAGTGCAAATGAGTTACTTGGGAAACACGCTGGCCACCACGCAGGGTTGGCAGTGGGGCCATAAAAACCTCTCCAAACTGATTCATGGAGGGATGAGGCAAGCTCTGGCAGTCTCCTTAGAGACAAGAGATAAAGAAAATATCCGTGCCAGCGTCGCCACGGTCTGTGCCCGAGAGCGCTGAGTGCCGCTCTCCGCGCAAGGCTGACGAAATCCTCGCAGCTCAGTAACTGCTGGCGGAGAAAAATATGGGAAGGGGAGGGCGGAACGCACAAAAGCATGAGCTGAGCTTTCCCCACGTAGGTCCCAGCTTCCAGCTGGCCCTCCCATCGGCAAACCCTGCCAGCCCTTGGCTCACGGCGGCGA